AGAATGTGTTCATTCTCAACTCTGTGGGGACTCATCATAAAAAAAAATCTGTTTCTAACAGGTGTTTTTCCTGGCAAAATAAATTAAAAACACAAAAGTTGGGGCATCAAAGCTGCGCTGAGCTGTGGGGAAGTGCCTGTGCTCCCTCCGCCTTTGCTGGCACCAGCTCCTCCTGAACACACCTGGGGGAGGCCCAGGGAGAAGCTAGGCTGCTGTGCGGCCCAGCATGGTCCTGCTGGCAGGAAAAGCCCAGGTAGCCCGTGGCGGATGCGTGGGCAGCAGATCAATATGGGTTGCGGAGCCGTCTAACTATTATTCATGCCAAAGGGCCTTGTTTGGATGAAGGGAAGGAGGGGTGCCAGTTCGCTGAATCACAGGCCCATGCTCTGCGCCTTGCTGTTTTCTCTTCTCCAGGACGCCCTCAATTATGTATGCAGCACGAGTAACTAGGCAATTCAGAAGAGGGGCATATTCCCTATAGTGACTCTGGAGCCAGGGAGCCTGGAGACCAGCTAGTGGGGAACTTGGGCAGGGGGCCCAGTTGTCCCTTCTCTGGCTCCTCTTGAAGAAACGTAGCTCAGGGTGCTGGGAACCCTCTAACCCAGCTCCTGTCCCTCTCATTCACTGCCTGGTCCTCTCCTCCCTGACATTCCTGCCCCACTTTTCCTGGATCTTGGTTTTGCCACCTGCCCCTTGTAAGCTGGCCCTGATATGGAATTTCAGGGGACTGGGGTGTCTCAGCTTCTACAGTGGGAAGGCACTGACACTGGCTCCAGCATCCCTGGATGCCTTGGCTCCAGTCACACCCCTCCTTTCCAGCTTGGGCCTGGCTGCTCTTGGCTACCTTTGAACGGCACCCTTCTTGGGTACAGTGTCTATTGATTCAAAATTTTTTCCTAGCTGTTTACATAGTTACTTTGCCCCATCTTCAAAAGCCTGGTTTCTGATCAGATTCAGTGGACAGTCTCTGATAGATGCCACTAGATGGGGCCTGATGAGCCACAGATAAGGCCACATAAACAAGAGTATTTTTTTGGGTCAGACTTAAAGTCAGTGAGTCACAGCATAGGATGAGGTCAATACAGAGGTTTAGTTTCTCATTTGAGGCAGTGCCCTCCCACTGGGGACGGCTCACCATACAACCTTCAACCTTCTGGGTGAAGGCTCTGGCATGTCTCCTGCTGAAGTGTGAAGGTCATCCTGAGGGAGGTGAATTGTCAGGAAACTAAGATGGACTGGACCGAAATGGAGCACAGAGGCCTTCCACAGCCAGGTATCTTCACTTTTTCTATATCTATAGTGATCAAGGAGACCTGAAGCCAGGCCTTACCTGACTTGTGCCTGCTGGGATGGCCTGTGGTTCCTACAGGACCATCTGTCCTTGGGAGGTAATTCAGAGACCCACTGTACTGAGTAATGAACACACATTGTCTCTTCCCCTCACACCCATGATCTAAGGGGTCTGGGCCCTCTTAGGATGGGAGAGTGGGGCTGGGAACAGGATGGAGAAAAGGTCCCTGGGCTTGACCAGAATGCTCCAGCCCTGAAGTACAATGAACCGGGCCTGTGACAAAGGCTTCCACAGACAGAATGGTGATTAGATATGGCATGAAGAACACTGACTTCTGAATTCAGATGACCATGATGGGGTTTTGTCCTTTCTTGCCCCCAAAGCTTGCAGCCTATGGAAAAGCCAATCGATTCCCCAATGGCAAGTCACAGAAAGGAAAAAAAGGCGGAAGGTCGATTCCCGCATAGTGCTGCTTCTGTTGCCCATTAGGGAAGCATGGCTTGTAATGAGCTCCAGTTGACTATGCAGAGGCCCGAGACACCCCATCACCCCTTCCTGAGCCAGCCATCCACACATACAAAGTCTTCCTTTGAGAGATCCCGGCTTGCTCTCTCTGCAGACCACAGTCTTCCAACCACACACTCAGCTGAAGGGGAAGACAAGTGGCCCACAACTGGAGGTTCACAGCAGCTCCTTTGAAAGCAGTGCGGGTCACAACCAATAGTTCCTGGCTGTGGATTTTGCCTCCAAACACATTTTGGCTAGGAAAGCCACTTCTATTCCGAAGGAAGGAACAGAATACCCCGCGAGGCTAAGCAGTTCACACCGAAGCAATGAGGAAATCATCACTTGTGTTTAATTCTCAACTACGTAGACAAACGGCTATAAATATTTATGATGGGAAATTTCATTATTTAAAAATTCTCTAAATTTCCATCAAACTCCATGAATGCCTGCTGAACAGGTTGCAAATTAAGAACAATTATTTCTTATCTTCCGCATTTCAATATAACTTACAGCTAAAGTCATTTAAAGGGGTTAACATCAACCTTAATTAAATATTAAAGTGTGCCTGTACCTGCTGCTATTGTTGCCCCTTCGAATAAGATATAACCTATTTTTGACAAGTTTTCATCTTTCTCTGTGGAAGACGCTACATGAAACCAAATCAGTGGCAAAGAAGAGAGTAATGAATAATCTATTTCATATTCCAACCCAGGGCTCGGAGTGGAAAAATATTCAGTCAGATGATGGCAAGAGGCTGCTGGGGTACCACATGACACAGCTAATGTTTAAATAATAATAATAAAAAAGCGATAAACAAATCATTAGCCCTTAACAGTTGTTTAATGCAATTTGTTAATGAACGTAATGGTGGGGACTGATAATGAAAGACAATAAAAACGTCTAAACAGGCGCCAAGTTGCTGGCGATGCGCAATTATTTCCTTGTCAAGTTTTTATGATTTAATGAGCCCCTCTGGGACTGACGGCTGTCAGTCAGTCGTGACTTTTTGACACCATTACAACTTCAAATACAGCAGCAGGCAGGCTGTTTTCCTCGGATTTGAAATACTGAAATGATCTGACAGTTTTAAAGAAAAGATGTGCAAAAAAAAAAAAAGGGAGAAAGAGAGGGAGAGAGAGACAGTGGCTTTTCCTCCCCCCCCCCCCACTTCTTCTATGGGCTGATAATCTCTGGATGCTGTTTGGTAATGAAAACCCAATCACTGAGGTCATTATCTGATGAGGTTTTTGGAACAGGCAGGCTTTTTTCCTCTCTTTATTTCTTTACTTAATGATAACCCTCAATGGGCTTGCCCCGCATGGGACGGCCAGAGCCGCACAATTTTGTTCACCATTAATTTCAGCCTTTGAAGCTCAGGGCTCAGAAGCAGTAGCAAAGCAAACCCCCCACCAAGCTGGTTCCAAAATAAGACAATCCAGTCTGCCTGAAACAGAATAGCAAATGGCCTCGAAGCCCAGGCCTGGCTGCTGACGTCAGGCCCGCTGCATCTGCAGGCATCTGTCTTCAACACAGAACATTTAAAACTCTTTACAACTTAAGAGACTTTAATTAAATTGCTTTTGATTCTTCATCCGCTTTATTTATTCTGTCAGGGAAACTGTTTAGTCTGCATGAATTTTATATGGCGAGGGCTTGCATGTGTCATCTTCCTGTGGCCTTGCTTCCTGTTCTCCCTCCTCCTCCTCCTCCTCCTCCTCCTCCTCCTCCATGTCTCCATCTTCATCCTCCCCCCACCTCCCAACACTGTTTTTATCACAGGCTCCCAACTTCAGGAATATGCAACAACTGAGGTCTGTATATCATGAACCTAGAACCTTCCACACTTAGCCAGCTGCTGGACTCTCTTCCTTCCTGGTGGAGCAGGGCAGAGGGAGAACACTTGGCCTCCCCAGGGCTCCTCCCTGTTGACTCCCATAACATCAGGAGGCCAGAAGGGAGTTCAAGGGCTTTCAGACCAACTTCCTCCCAAGGTGCTCCCTGGCCTGGTTGAGGTGGATGCTCTGGAAGGGGTGTGATATGGCAGTTAGGCCAAGCGTTATCAGTTCTCATCTTCCTACTCCCAAAGTTGAGCTGGGGCAAAATCACAGGCCATAGCTGATAAAGACATAGAACTTAGCAAAAAAAAACCTTTGAGAGGCGAACACCGAACACAATTCCCTTTCCCATTTCATTTGCTTCAGCATGAACACACAGGTTTCAGTGATTTAGGAGCCAGCAAGTGCCTACAAGCTCAACCTTGCTTGCTCACAGGCCTGGGGAAGAGGCAGCTGGGTGGAAGGTGGGAGGTAGGTGTGAGACAGGGCTAGGAACTCAGGTATATCCTCAGCTGAGATCAACAGTTCCAAGGAAGCCAGCAGAGGGGTTGGGCCACTTTGCCAGCATCAGTGTCTCAGAGAGAGAAGGGGGTTGTTTGTTTCCTTGTTTTTTAATGGTTTCTTTGACATATTTAGCATGTCCAGAATTCAGCTATCAGAATAAAAAGGTATTTTGCTGAGGTGGTTTCTTAGGCTGACAGGAAAAACAGTGTAGCTTTTAGGCCTGCCTCTTTGCTGTCCTACTTTGTTCGGCCAAAATCCCATACCATCTCTCCGACATGGAGGCTGCACTTTTATTTACACGATAATAAATGATTTATCTGAACACAGACAAGCCACAGCCTGTTTCGATAAGTACAGTTTCTCTGGTGAATTTTGCATTCTGCATTTCTACTATACTTTATTATGGTTCTCTTCTGAGTTTGGGGGAAAAAAAAACCAAGTGTGGCATGATCTTGATCCATGAGCACAGGTGGTTAGCATTTTTTATGAAGAGAACAGGTTTGCTTTCAAGAATTCAAAGCTTCCAATTATATTCAAAAGATAGTACAGACCTATAAGTGCCTATGAAGCCTTAAGAAAAACACATTTTGTTTCATGACTGGGGGCGGGGGAGTGACCTCAGCTTGGGACACTTTTAGCTTGATCACAAATGAACTCATTTTGAACGCAATTCCGGGTTACCTCACACAGAAAGAAAGGGAAGAAAATCACAAAGAATGTGAGAGGTTTGAATACATAGAGAATTGAGGAAGGCTTTGCTAACATTTGTTAGTTTAAAAAAAAAAAAACCGGCATCCTTTTGTAGCACTCCACCATCACTGGTTCTTTGAAAGGAGGTTAGTCAGTGAACACTTCCCATAAAGTTTATTTCTATTGGATAGTCCTGTAGAACTCTCATTTTTATTATCACATCGGAAATTTCACAGCAACGGAGGCATCTCTTACTCTTACTGAAATATTCATGTTCTCTTTACATACTGGAGTGGATGTGGGGAGAACCTTGTCAGGCCTTTTGCATGTATAAGGGCTGCTGTTGGCAGAGCAAATATTAAAACCGAAGGGATACAGAAGAGCTTACACAGGTCAGGGAAGATGAGGTCACAATGAAATACTGTGCCAATCCTCATGTTGCCAGCAAATTCTGGGGAGTATGGCATTTGGGGAAGGCAAGAAAATATTTCTTGTAGCCAGAAACCAAACTGTGAAAAGTAGATATTGGGCAGCTTCAGCAAAAATATTCTCGGGTTAAAAAATTATGCAATAGAAAAACAGGGAAAGTGCTAAGTCAATTTCCTGTACAAGTGACATTAAATACCCTCCTTTGCAATAAAAGCACTTGGGCAGGGTGACTATATTCATTATTCCTGGGAAGGGACAGGTCTGGTCTGTTGGAGCTGGTCACAGGCTCTGGCCTCTCATTTTTCCTTCCATTTTTATCCATGAACATCGCAGGACTTTTTTTGGTGAAGAGAGGTACGTGACAAATAGATGCTCCTCTGTCTGAGTCGTCAGGTGGCCTCCCAAACCATAACCCCAGACCTCTCCACGGGACAAGGAAGAATGTCATCAAAGCTATTTTGGATGGGGTAGATGAAATGACCAAAAGGCAAGTAAGCATTCACGTTTACCTACAAAAAACAAATCTGGGTGAAGACCAACCTAAAAAGGGAAACCAACCCACATGCAAACAGTAATAGAAAATATTTTTACACTCTGCACTCCAGCTGAACAGTGGTGAGGGGGAGACACAAGGTCACTGGGGGCCTGTCAGTGCAAAAGAATGATTCATGTGACCATTTTGTCTTAATTACTCAGAACAAGCCACGGTGGCTGTTTATCAAGGGAGAGCAGATACATCAGTGTCTTCTGACAAAGAAACTGATGGCAGTCAGGATGGTGATGACCAAGATGATGCCCAGGATGACGAGCAGGATGCGGTTCTGGATGATTCTGGGGGAGAGAGAAGAAAAACACATGTGGATAAATGGACAGCATCCGGCAAACATCATCCAATCCCAAGTTCGCTAATAAAACCATAGCCTGAAAAGTGGGGTAGAAGCTGTGTGCGAATGCATGTGCACGTGTGTGTGTGTGTGTGTGTGTGTGTGTGTACTAGTTTTCCAAACAACTTGGCAGTGGCTATCACCTGATGGTCAGAGAATGCTTACTGTAAAGCTAACTCAAATCAGTGGCTTTCCAGGCTCTGGGTACCATGTAGCTTCTTTAAGTGATCAAGGGCCCCATGTGAGCTTCTCTTTTTAATTTAAAATGTGAGACGTCTTTTTTTTTTTTTCAGTGTTTCCTGAGAAAGAAAAAGACTCCAAGGAAACATGTCAGCAAGGTACTTACCTGTACAAAAATACCTGGGGGAAAAGTAAAAGAGAGACAGGGAAAGGACAGGATTAAGAAGCAAGTGTCAAACTTGCAGTTTAGGTTGTGAAGCCCTCACCTGTCAGTGTGGCTCACGCGTCGTCACGCCAGGAGGAAACCTTACATTTACTCTCTAGTGCAAAAACATGGAAATGAGAGAGAACACAAGATCCTCAAGGTGCCTGGTGTGTAAGCTGTGGGTGGGCTCTCGCTTTCAGGGACTGTGGGTCCCTTGGTCTGGCCCTGTGATGCTAACCTCAGAGAGAGGAGCAAGGAGACACGTGCTCCTGATGCCTGCAGTGCGCTTCCGCAAAAGTTGTTTCATAATTTGTTACCTCATTCGGAGAAAAGAGGTCGCACACCAGAATGCTTTGTTGAGCCTTTCAAAGGGAACCTAGGTCAAACAGCCTCGCCCACGCTTGCTGCTCTTACAGAGCGCACGGAAATAGAAACCCAGAGCTGCTGGCTGTCTAGCCGGCTGCCCACCCAGCTTCGAGCCCGCGGCAACTCCGTCCCACTCCCACCCCGCAGAGGCACGTGCAAAGAGGTCTGTGTCTTCCAGGGGACACAGGACCCTGGTCAGGGTCTTCTACATGGAGGAGCCAGGTGGGGCTCGGCCAGGTCTGCACTTAGTCAGTGATGCGTTCTTTGTATCGTTACAAAGAAACCTTCACCGGGTCCGGTCTGGCAACCTTTTCTTGCCTCTCGGATGTTTGTTTCGTGGAAGGTGGATGACATCAGGTTGTGCTTTCGGTTGAGTCCTCCCCACCCAACCCCTCCTTCCTTATGGATGGATGCGAACTGTCCCATCAGAGTGGCCCACTCCCCTGTGGCCCCTAACAGGACCGGTTCCTTCTTGTGACAGGTTACAAAATGATCGCATTTGCTGACACGTCTTCCGCAAAACTGCTTTAGTACCCATGTCTATGGGCCTCTCGGGAGATAAATGGTATGCTTCATCCTCATTTATCACGAGAGGCTCTGTAAGGATCTGTCTCGTTTATTTCTTCTCTTCCCCACTGGAAAGCTTGTGCCTCACATTAATTCTTCTGTGATGACAGCTAATTCAGACTTAACAGGCCATATTTATCCAGGAGGCAGGAAGATTTTCTGTCCCACCCAATAAGTAAATAAAAACAGCACTTCAGGGCTTATTAAAGTGAAGCTAATTAGGGACACCAACTGTTGCTACTTGGTGGCTCCATCTAAAACTCAAATCGATTTTTCTCCCTTTCTCTGGAAGGGACACAAGTCCCCACAAGTCCCATTTGCTCAAGTCATTGTCAAAAGCTCTATTTACTGTAGCCACCCATGTCGGATTTGCAAAAGAAATCCACAAAATTGAAACTCAGTAGCAAAACATTTAAAAGCATGAAAATGCTTTTTAGATTTGCCTTAAATAATCTGCGGTAGTGCATCTTTCTTATTTCTTATTGCTTGAGTGACAACCATTTTATTAGTGGGATGAGGGCCCTAAGGCAGCCATGATGGACATGCAGGAAGGTCGACTATGGACGTTACTTTCTTTATCTGCTACACAGTTAATAAAATAAATGCACAGGGGTCGTCAAATCCTTAGCTCTTCTTAGCTGGGCCACACCCTCCTGGGTACCCATGCTGACTGGCATCCCTATCACCACACCACTGCGTGTATGGGCTACACAGGATTCACCTTTAAAGCCCGAGTACCTTTCAGGGCTGGCATTTGGGAGGAGGACTGAGAACTCTCCAAGGAATGATAGTGACAGAGCGCTGCCCCTGGCAGTCATAACCACACCATTCAATGCAGAATGGAGGGGAAACTGGAAGAAAATGTCAGGGAGTCAGTGTAGGAAAGGATGAAGGTAAAAGTAGAAATCAGTCCCCAAAGACGCAGCTACATGCCGCAGTGCCTTCTCAGAGCAGCTTTGGATCTTCTCCCTGAACCTGGGGGAAGGACTAAGCCATCCCGGCTCCCAGGTGTGTGCCGGCAGAAGACATGGGTGCTTCTATGTAAAAGGCTGCCAGACAATGGAGCGGAGGGGAGCAGAAGGGCAGAAGGCTGGAACAGAGAGGGCTGTAAGTAAGCTTGCCTGGCCAGGCCATCAAGCTAGCTTTGGACCTCAAAGGAGATGGGCAAATATAGATCTCTCAGGGCCAGAAAAGCAAGCCATTAATTTAGTGGACAGGGCTGAGACAGTGGGGAGGACGAAGCAAAGGCTGGCAAGGCTGTGAGGAAGCCTGGAGTAGAGTCATAGCTAGTTGCCGTGGGCTGGCTGGGTCCATATTGCTTGGGGTAAAGCAGAAAAGAATGTAAGTTGCAGGGTTCAGAGGGATCAGAAAAGCCAGCCAGGTCAAGGAGGCTCCAGCTAGAAAGCCAGAGAAGGAACTTGGGGGGCAGTCAGAAGTAACTTGCTCTAAACTCTGGGTAAGGGGCCTTGATGTTCTACTAGATCTGCAGCAAGCAATCTTAATCTCCCTTTTGAAAATGCAAAGTGTGTTTACCCGGTAAATAATTTAAGAAAGAGTATACACTTGAAAGAAGACATCTATTGAAACAGCCAGGCTAAACTGCCTCCAGGCAAAAACTTGTGCATTTGCATGCTGCATTCTATTAAGTGAGCGCACTGTGGCTTTAAAAGAATGCAGGGCCAAATTAAAAGGAATGCGGGCCCGGAACATCAAAAATTCTCCAAGTTTACATTATGAATCACAGTGCTGTTGATATAAGATGAATTAACCATTTACTTTGAGGATGAACTCACAAAGTACTATTGAAAATACTGATCCCTGTGTGGAACCCAGGGAGTGGTTAATCTTTCCTAGTCTCCTCCCCTTCCTGGAAACAAGCTCCTGTGTGTGGCAGGCAGGATCACAGAGGGCTGGTTCAAGGGAAGGAGGCTGGCCGCCCCCTGACGTGGATCTCTGCTTGAGGGGTACCTCTTGCTGCCCTGACCTGACCCTTGATGTTGGGCCTTGTCATGGGACTTGCTTTGGCCAATGAAATTCCTGCAAAAGTGCATGCTTTCATTTCCTGCTGACCTTTAAGTGCTACACCCTCCAGTGGGGCCCCTGCCATGCTGTTTTGATGTAAGGCCTGCATGTTCCAGAGAGTGCATTTACAGGATAGTGAAAGCTCTTTTTGCTTGCATCCCTAGTCCATCACATTGAGGACCACAATCCTGGGGACTCTCCTGGATCCACAAAAGACTTGAACTAAAGCAATGAGCTTTGAGGATTGTTTGTTATTGCAGCATAACATAACTGTGCCCCTCTTTGGGGAAGAGGAGTAGGCGGTGCAAGCTAAGTGAGGCTCAGGGTTGATATAGCTCAGCATCCAAGGTCTGATGAAGGGTTATAACTGTGTTCCCTGAGGATTAGTTTTTGCCTCTTGGTCTTCAAAAGTTGGGCTCCTTCTGTGTCTACTTGGCTATAACTCTTCTCACTGAAGAATCAGGAGCTTCTTCAGCTGTGTGCTCAGGAGTGGATGGTGTTCATATGAGCTCTCAGCAAGCCAGCAAAGGCACTGTGCTTCCTAAGGACCACAGAGATTAGATTGAGCTGTGACCTATGCAGTGGTGACCAGTGTACTCCATTCCCCTAGCCACAATGACTTGATCAGGAATAGGTATGTAACTTAAAGCAGCCTAGCAGTGGGACGTTCCACCTCTGCGGGGAGGGCTGGTATATAGAAGTTAGGCCTGAATGTGCGGCAGCCATTTTGTTTTCATAAGGAAGTTAGCCTAAGAAGTGAGCTGCCCTATGAAGGTCAGAGAAACAGGACTGACCCTGAAGACATGATAAACTTGTATAGTAAGCCACCCTTCCTTTTAACTTTGACTAATGTAAGAGAAGAAATTAACTTCAATTTTCAAGACTGTTTGATTTGAGCCTTCTATTATTTGTGACCAAAAAGCACTTTGAGATTGAGTCACTATGATTCTACACCAAGTCTTTGATCTCTGGCATCCTTTACCAAGAGCTTCCGGATGGTGCCCGGCTCGCTCTCGGGTTTCCCTGAGCTTTTCTTCCCTCTACGCTAACCACATAGGTTTCTGATTTTCTGTTTCTGTGAAGTTTGCTCCAGTAAAAAGTGGACCTTCCACAGCCTGAATCTCTTTCATCTTTTGTATCCCTCTGACACAGAGCCTGGCATAGATGTTCTTAAAATTAAAAAAAAAAAATGTTTGTGCAGGGTGTGGTGATATATGCACCCAAAGCTCCAGCTATTTGGGAGACTGAGGCAGGAGGATCATGTGAGCTTAGGAGACTGACTCAGAGCTGAGGCCAGCCTGGGAGACATTTTGTGACCCCTAAGGGCTTCTTAACTACTGGCCACTTTCCATAAGCACGTCAGCAATGTCTTAATTCTTACACTGGTTTGCTGAAGTGCGTGAGACAGGCTCAGCACCATGTCTTGGACTTGCCTTGGAGTAGACTCCATTTTGAGTCCATTAAAAATGCTGGACCAATTATAATGCTCTACTCCATGCACAAACGTTTGTTCAGAAATTGGCCTGACACCCAAGCCACAGAGTCAGCTGGGGATTCCCCTAGAAGATCAAGAGAAAAGTCCAGTTCTCTCTTTATTGGGTCTGACA